TTGTCATATTTGATTGCTAAGAGATCTATTAGTGAAATCCACATATTTTCATTGTTTAATTTATATTTTCAGTATTGAATATTCTCTATGCATAATTTTATGATTATCATGTTTGATTGCTAAGAGATCTATTAGTTTTTCAGATACTGCAATCTATAACTAAGTTAAATCTCAAATCCGTAATTGTTTGAATCATTTAACTTGTGAAACACTAGGATTTGATAATTTTATGCGATAGATGTTATTGAATTTTAAGAAAAATGTTTAAATAGATTGAATGTAACTGCTAGTATTTGTATTATCTGGTTCATCGATTCTCTATTGTTTAAAGTTATTATTAAATTGAATCTTTAGCGCTGGTATGAGATTATTTGATAATTAGGGTAAATTAGAACGTTTGTTTCTGATTAACTAAAATTAAAGAGAAATAGGAATTTATTCCAACAATTAATATTGTGAATGTCGATTGATGAATGGTTATAGATCTCCAATGGTGGAAGTTGTCTTTGATCAAGACTCTTTTCATTGATTTAATACAATTCGTTAATTTACATTATTATTTGTTATAAGATTGATTTCGTTATAAACAAAACCCCCCCCACTCGTTATACGAAGCATAAATCGTTATTTGCACTCTCTTCGCGTGAGCGATCCTTACTTCCATTACTACATTAGTTTTAGAGGTTTAAGGACTATTTTTGGGTGCTTGCGACAGCACACCAGGAATCCATTCAAGTAGTAACAACGATCCAACGTGTAAGTTGTACCCTCGCAATAAGAATATAGCAGAGATTTTTTAATTCCTTGTGAGTTGGAGTGAGAGGATGGCCACTGTCTGCTTCCTCGTTGAGTATCAATATGTGATTCCCTAGAATTGTCACGAGTTTTGATACTCATGGCATGAATTAGATTAGTACCTTTTGCCTTAGTAAGTCCTCGCTGCTTTTCTTCCTCACATTGAAATGAATATGCCTTTTTAACAGTTGGTAGAGGATACATTAACATAATTGAAGGAATTGTCTCAATCTATTCTTTTCCTCTATTTCTTTTAAGTCTTATTGTCCTCCACAAGTACACATGATTGAAGGATTGCAAGTAGATAGCTCATCCCACAATATTTTCATCTTTGTATAGTAAGAAAAAAGTCAATCTTGATTTTGTTTCAATTCAACAATAGATCGTTAAGTTTGATAATGATGGGAAAATCACCTTGAGAGAAGCGTTCTTGAAGGTCAGTCCAAATCTCCGAAGGTGTTTCAACATAGAGTACACTGTTTGTAAGCTCCTGACTTAGCCCTTGTTTGGCCCCCATTTTGGGGTGTTGAAAATTTTTGGAATAGTGATTGATGGAAGAATGTGTGGTAAAAAAGTAATGAAAAGTTTTTGATTTATGTATAATATTATTTTATTTGATGAATGTGTGGTAGAAATGAAGAGGGATAAAAAATTAATGTGATGTAATGGAAAAAAATGGGGGCCAAAAGGGGGCCTAGAGAGTTAAAAATCCAAGAAAGCACCGTATCGTTGCAATGCTGCCACAAAGAGTACTTTGGATCTTTTTCATCTGGTGTTTGAATGGTTCATTTGATAAACCCTAATTTATTTTTGGTATTGAGACTCATCGACATAGTTCTCTTCCACATAGCATAATCGGTTCCGTCTAAAAACTTTTGGAACAACAATCATTCCAGGATGGTCAAAAGCATGAAGAAAAAGAGGATCTGATGAATCAAACACAGATATAGACATGGTGTTATCCAAGTAGGCAGAAGTGTTTTACAGAGTCAACAAGATCAATACTCTCATACAATTAAAAAAAAAAAAGTTTTAAGAAAATTTTATATGTTTTTATTATTTCCAATATTCAAATAAGAGACTACAATTTATAAGTTTACAAGAACTAATATGTCCTAAAATAAAGTAAAATAAAAATCTTAACTAATTCCCTTATAGAAAGGGATAACAAATCACCTAAATACAGGAAATAATATCTCTTAGTTGTTCAAATAAAAAATAACATAATCTTAACACTAATACCAAACGATTCACATCTCGGAAATATTCCAAATATCTCTATGAGATACACATTGTGGCACTAGAGGTGTGGAGATGACAAACAAATAAAGCAATGAAATCTCACCAACTTTGCCATCTTTTAATTGATCAAAATTCATATTGGTTGCCAATGTAAGTTGCAGTCTAGTGAATAAAACACACACACATATCTATAGTTCCTGAACCTATTTTACCCCCAAATAGAAGAAACACCACCCTATTTCAGATTCTGCAGTGTTGAATAGCTCCACTACTTTTCTCAAGAAATTTTAGTAATTCCAAGGCTGCAAAGAGAAAAAAAGAGTTGTGGCTACACACTTATTAATGGAAAATAACTTAATATCAGAATTTTGAATATAGTGCGTGTAAAAGTTAGCCGCACAAAGACCTATAGTTCAAAGCTCCACATGAAAGTGGAGTCACGGATTGAAGAGTTGCCAAATCTAACAGCTGACAAAATGCATTTTACTTCCATATAACTTGTTACAACAGTTATTTTGAGTTTGCATATAGCATAGATTCTTTTTTTCTCAAACTTCCAAGAACACAGACATGATCTTTTCTCAAGATTTTCCTTGTCTTTTCTTGAGTGAGAAATTTGTCGAAAAGAGTTTGCAAATATACGGCAGAATTTCTTTAGGCCGAGCAGATACATTAGTCCACCTTTTTTTTTTCTGTTTTCCAGTCAGATTATTTTATCAACACAATACCTTGATACAACTCCTATATAGAAAATATTTTTCAATAATATTTATGCAACCAAAATTAGACTTATCTAGACATCACATCAACTTCCCATATGTTTTATGCTATGCAACACAAGTCCAAAAAAACTAAAAAGGAATGTAAGTTTATCTTATTGTATGGAACTATGTTCCTACACGGCTGGCCATAGCACTGAACCATTAGCGGTGTGTTTGAACCACATTATTTTGGAAGAATGTATTTGGAATAGTAGATTGATGGAAAATGTGTGGTTGAAAAAGAAGGAAAAATTATTAATGTGATGGAAAATATTATTTTATCGAAAAATGCGTTGTTGAAAATGAGTAGAAGAATGAGAATGAAAATTTTAATATAACTCAAACAGGGGCTAGATTTTTCTAAGTTCCACCGGCTCTCACAATCTTCCTCTACTGAATATCATAGTTAACAAGTTATACTGAAGGACCTCATGGAAGTTTACCAAATGATATCTTCAGTTTTTATGTCCAATATAATGTGACCTATAGCTACTTCACTCAATTTTAATTCTCTGCAATGACTGGTGTATATCCATTCTCCTTCCTTTTCTTCCACGTCTTCCCTAACCGGGGATGCTGGCACTGGCCCCAATCGTTGCCAGGATTCTAAATGGAACATCCCATTATCATGATTTAAGCTATTTGTTTTCCTTATTTTCTTCATTCTTTCAGTTCTTCATGTTGGGCGCCTAACGTGTGTCACTTCCCAGCAACTTCAAACAAGAAATAGTCAAACACTAATGAACACAAGGATGATTGTGCAAACTTGTGTAATCGTTCGGTAAGATTATACTGAAGCTACTTCCTTCACAAGATGTGGGTATAGTACTAAATTAACTACATTTAGAGCTTATCACATTTTGTACACAAGGTTAACTACATCAGCTCTATTTTGCCCATCTGTCCAATACATTTGGCTAATACTGATACAACAACGACTAAAAATTGGGGGTATTAATTTAATTCTACACACTTAAGAAATAACATATTAACTATTGAAAGATACCAAACAATCAGCATAGCACAAGAAAAAGAAGGATTGGTAACTAAATTAATGTCACAGGCACCTACTAGAAGTCTAAAACCCAGAGAAAAGTAGTAAATATTTCACATCCTACAATATCATTATTTTTGTAGGCAACTAATCACAAAGCATCTGATGCATGATTGGCTAGTATTATTACATGATACCAAACAATATAATGAACAAAAATTTCAGCTTATTTTCCTTTCTTGGTCTTTTCCAATAACGTCTGGTCAATCTTATCAAACATGCCACTAAAGTTCACCAATGTCACAACCGAAATCTTGAATAAATTTCAAAAAAGCCTCCGGATAAGAAAGTGAATAGCAACACTATCAACAAAACTAACTCCGGGGCAGAGATTCTACTGCAAGTCTGTGATCATTCACACCATTGTAAAGACAAATTTAACACGGTGAGTTTGACACGAACAATCAAATTCAACAAAAACATTATCCACACAATCATCAGGAAAAAAAAAAGGAGTGCTCCAGAAAAGTAACAAATAAACTATATGCAAGTGTGTACATATAAAATCAGTAATTAAGTTTTTGTGTGCATGCATATGCGTGAACATTTAAATAAGGCAAAGGATGTACTTTTTTTATATATAAAGAAGAAATAAGGGAATTAAAAAACAAAGCTGACCTGCTGCATTGCTGGCAAAACCTTTGCTCAAGGCCTGCAACAATGACCTTTGGGGACTTGGAGTGCATACCACACACTTTGTGCCTTGAATAGTAAGCCTTAGCATCACTCAGATCTACCTTACACCCTTCTACTTGGCACCTGGGTGGCCGGCCACCTTGCACCACCCCGCTCCTCCCCTTCTTGGCAGGTGATGGGGGAGGCAGTCCGGCGGTCTTCGGCGGCAGTGAAGGCGGCCCGCCGCCAAATTTGTCCTGCACTCCACCACCCACATCTTCAAAGTAGATTTTCTTGCCAAACTTCAAGCCATTGAGTGAGTCTGACCCACCAGAAGTCGATGTAGAAGAAGAAGAAGAAGAAGCAGAGGCTGAACCCAGGTCCATTCTTGTTGTATTGAACCCGTTCATCAGTGCCTAGTGGGATAGTCAAATGAATACCACGTGGTTTAATATATAAGGAGACCAAAGAAATAAATGGAGAAGCTATTTATTTAGAATTATTGCAGATGAACATGGTCACGTTGCCCAGTTCATCCAGGGACACCACTTGGCTCTCCTATAGTGGCGCCCCTGGATGAGCAGGGCCAAGCAAACTCATTTATATATGTACCCGTTTGGCCCATTATTTTTATAATTCATTTTCACTCATTTATTTTTAAGTATATATTTTCCAAAAAATGTTATAACCGCTATATTTTGTAATACAGAGGGGATGTTCTGTATTTTTCTTGATACGGGAGTTTGTAGTTTGTTTGTGTGGTGGAAGTAAAGTGGTGTAAAGTTGAAACCTGACAAAGGGCCATAATGCCAGCTTGGGGTTTGTGCACAGAGTATTTAAAGACTCTTGTCAAAATAATGGAGAGAGCAAAGAAACGACAGATTTTGAGTGAGTTTTTTTGGTACTTTTTGGTAGTTCTCACATCTCAGCAGCTTTAAAACAAACACTTTATAGACATTAATTCAACTGTCGTTTTATATAAACCTTTTCTTTCTCTTTTCAGTTTTCAACCATACTCTGTAGCTAGTTAGCTACAGGTATGATCCCTAGTTACTACTATACGCAGTTCGATTCAAAATTGGGGCATCCGGATGTGGCCGGTTCCAACCAGAACGAATCGGTCACTGCAATAATTATTTTCCAAACATATTTTGAAAAGAAGTTGCTTTAAAATATTACCTTCAAGTTTAGCCAAACATTGTTTAGATAGTTTACCCAAGTGTTTTTATGTTTGTCAGTTTAAAATTAGAGAGTGATCTTTATAAATTTGATTTTAAGAGAATTAGTTTTAATTGTGTTTAACAAAGAATTGAGTGTTAAATAAGGGATAATTGTAGCTATTGTCCTAAATCTTCCATTTTTTATTTTTTTTAAGACTTTATTTCAATATTTCATTTGGACAATTCATAGTCCCAAATTTTTAATTTAATTGGGGCTCAGGGACAAATGACATTTCATTCATTTGATCGTTAATTGATAAAAAAAATTTGACCTCCCTTTTTACCAATTTTAAAATTTTACGTCTCGTGGGTTCGACCCGTTAAAATAAAAGTACCCTCAACCAATAAACTTACCACCATATTTCAGCCATCTTTATCTTGTAGATAAGAACCATCGCTCGAAATTGGAGTAAGGAAAAATCCCTGAAATTCTTCACCAGTAGCATCTTTCTCCTCATTAATAAACTTTGTAGAAGTTGCGACTGAGGGTGAAACCTATGGCTCATCATTATCAAATGCCATGATTTCTTATTAGGTAATTTTTGCAAATTGTAATACTCTATTATGTTTGGTTTCATCATATTATGTTCTTTTTTCTTGAAGTAATGGGACATCTTTCCATGTGATCAACGGCGGTATGATGTTTTTTGGTTTTTATTTGATTTGGGGGTTGGGGATGGGGATAGGGTGTTTTGAAGAAGATGAAGATTTGGGGTTGGGTTTGGGGGTAGGGACATGGTGGCCTTTTTGTTTTTAATTTAATTATTCTAATTATTAATATTTTTAAAAAATATAAATTTATTATTTTACCCTTTTAAAATTTGTCAAAATTTTATTTTTTTGGTCAACAGATGACTAAATGGACATTTGTTCTCGTACTGCAACTAAAATAAAGGTTTGGAACTTCAGGTGGTAGAAATGAAGGTTTAGATGAAACTGCAAAATGATGAAAGATTTGGGATCGCAATTATAATTATTCCTTAAAACCATCAATTTGATAAGTTTGTAGTTCAAAAAGAAATTACAAATAGCATACTATGGGTAAAAAGATGATGGTTAGACCACTCAATACCTATAAAACATTCGACAGATGCATTTGGTAATTTCAAGATATAGCAATTTGATTAAGGAGGCAGGGATAGACTGGTGATAGGGTGAATGAGGACGTAGGGTGAAAAAAAAATATTTTTTTTAAAAGTTAGATCTACATTGTTAGACTAATTTAATGTTTATTTAAGAATTAAGATTGTCATGCCTTTGATCATGAGGATCCATATTGAAGACACCTAGTGCCACGTGGCGATCGAAATGGGCCCACACTCCACGTCACGCACATAAATCGAAGCGTCACTTCAGCTTACCTAAGTAACAAAGTGAGGTGTGATGCCAATGTGTCAAATCATCAACTCTTAGTAGGAAACATTAAATGCTGCATTAAATATCCATCAATCTATGACTGACGGATTGATACCTAGGAAGGGACGTGGACTACTATCGCTGTCAAATGAGGCCACATGTCTCTTCATCACACGGTCAGTATTTCATCTCGAATACTATATAAATCCATGCATTCAACTATCTAAAGGTAAGACATTCTGACTTCTCAAAAATATATTTTACTCTTTGTAATCATTCCCAACATTCACCTAACTAATTTGATCGTTGGAGTGCTCGCAGCTGCCTCCACCACCACCGAAAAAGGCGGTGGCAGCTCACATTGTGTTCACGTGTGTAGGAGAAGTTCGTGTGAAGCTGCAAGTTTTTGGCCACGTGGAGATACATTTTTTGAAGTCAACAAATTTGCATTGTCTACGGGAATATCGTACCATAACCATGAAAGTCTTGCGAACAAAGCCTACCTGAAAAAGGGCTTTAGGTTTTTCCCCTTGAAAAATGTTTAGTTCTTGAATAAAGGACAGGTAAAAGCCCATGCACCCATCATGAGTTCAAGTAATGAAGAGATCCTCCAAACAAAAGTCACTCATCAGAGGCCCCACCACAGTCGTCAGAGGGGACGTAGGATTGCCGCATGCTTAACAGAAGAAGTGGCCCAGATGGCCACTAGTATGAGAAACATCACCGCCTAAAACGTTGCTATGCAAGAGCTCCTCATGCAAATCCAAGGACAATGCATCTTGCAATCTCAGAACACGCCATGGTCAGGTCTTTCTCACCAAGAGGAAGAGGTACAAAGTAGCAGGCCCGTTCCAGTAGACCCAAGAGGAAAGTCAGTCCAGATAAGAGGAAGATGGGGATAAAAGTGTCCTCATATCATGCCTCCGAGCAACCCTCTAACGATGGCGAATTTCCACCTGAATACAGTTAAGAACAGGGACATCAAAGGTCCATAAGTATGTTTGATAGAATTGAGCCTAACATACATGGGAGAAGGCCTCGACCAATCCCAACAGTCAAGTCCCCTGAATATGTTGGAGGTGAAGCTGTTCAGCCAACCCCTTCACCTGGGAATAAGCACGAGAGGAGGCACAAAATGAACTTAAGGAACTAGAAAGGCTCATCTCAGCCTCCATCTCGATACCAAACAAATGAAGAGTCAAACGGACTTTGTAGGTCTTATGAACTTGACGATGATTACAACAGCCTTCCATTCTCAATGGAGCTTTGTAATGCCCCTATGCCAAGTAATTTAGTACTCCATAAAATCCCTAGGCACGACGGAAGATGCGACCCAGAGAAGCATCTCAACAATTACAAAACACATATGAGCCTAAAAAGCTATTTACCTGCATTAAAATCCAGGACGTTTCACCTAACTCTGTGCGGAGTAACTGAAGTTTGGTATAGTAGGATACACGCCGGAGCATCAGAAGTTGGTCTGATCTTAAGAAGGCCTTCCTAAAACAATACCTAACTAAGAAAGATGTGAAGGCTCTCATTCAACCCCTCCAAGACATGAGGCAAATGGCTGGAGAAACATTGAAAAGTTATCTAGCCCGCTTTACTAATAAAATGACGTATTGTGAGAAGTTCACTGATAAAAAAGCCAGATCTGCTCTAAAGGAAGGCCTCAACATGAACACCTTTTTCTGGATAGACGTTCAAAACAAGAACTCTTTTACTTATGATGAATTGGTAGAGATGATGAGGGTGGAAATCATTAGCGAAGAAATGATCGATCATCGGAACATGGCAGCACAAGGGCTCACACCTCCTCATAGGCAGATGGAAAAGGGTTTCACTTCTCATATGATGAATCAGCAATGACATCGAGTAAAACACAAGTCTCAGCCATTCTGAGTGCAGTCCTAACCCTCGCTTATAAAGAGGTCGGGCCAAGTGGCAACGTAGAACCAAAACCACCCTCAAAAGATCTTTATACCAACGGAACAGAGGACGAGGTGGGCCTAGAAATAGGCCCTTTGTTGAGGTTCGACCTTAGTGCACCTATCATAGGTTCTATGGGCATGACATCAGCGAGTGTGGAGATATACCTCAATCCATAGAGCGTAACTCCTCTCAAGAAGCCAGAAGAAAAATTTACTCCCAAACAGATTCGTCCCGTCCTAGGCAAACCCAACATCACGAGCAAGAGAAGGCGAGAAGATCTTGTAAGAACGATTTCTTCCGACGACGAAGAAATGATAGGAAAAGGTCGAGACATGGCCAGAGGCAACGAAGAAACCCCAACCAATGTGGGAAGTGCGCCAATCAAGAAGATTGATACGATCATAGGAGGATCACATATAGGTGGAGAATCCCCAAATAAGCTTAAGAATTATGCCAGGGAGGCTAAGGACCCTTCAATGACTAGTTACATTGTCAATAGTAACTCTCAAGGGCCAAGAGTGTGACCCATATCACATTTACTCAAGAAGATGCATTAGGCATACACTACTCTCACTGTGATGCCCTGATGGTAAGGGTTTGGTAGCCCACAACGGTTTGAAGCGGATGTTGGTAGATAATGGGAGTTTATTTAACATCTTATTTGGCTCCACCTATGATAAGATGTTTGTAGACCACGAGCTTATGCCCATGACTTCCCTTTTATATGGTTTTACCGGAGACATCACTGTCCTACGAGGAAGGATCACAGTAGTAGTAGAAATGGGAATGCCATCACGGACGACTCGACACTTTATGGAATTTCTTGTAGTGGACAACATGTCAGCTTATCATAGAGTCTTAGGATGACCAGCACTAAA